AAATGCATAAATTAACTCAATTGTTTTACATATTGTTACAGAAGTTGAATGTAAAGCAGAGAATATTATTGGATGGAAGTCCAACTCAGCAAATGTTAAATTCAGCAGACGCCAAAACAGTGTGGAGAACTTTTATTCAATTGAATACAACTTGCCACGAATCACACTTGCAAAAATGCTTATATATATATATATATATATATATATATATATATATATATATATATATATATATATATATATATATATATATATAATATAAATAATCACTTTGTTTAACACATTAAAATTTCACTAATGGATGTATATTTTGTATCAAACAGATGAGAACTGCTTAGGAAATCTTGTAACACAGATAATGTATACTTTTCTGGCACCATTGTTGATATTATTTGCGACTGTCTTATATATAGATAAAGTAAGTGGAAACAAATTAAATATCAATATAATCAATTGTTTCAATAAAGTCTATTATAACTGTTATAGTTTCTATAGCAAAGCTCTGCACTTGTCTAACTTTTTTTTTTCTTTATTTTTTTTAAATTTAATTTAGATAACCAGTAAATTAAACAACAAATTAAATAATTGGTAAATTTATATAATTAAATAAACATAGAAAACATATATGTATAATATATATATATATATATATATATATATATATATATATATATATATATATATATATATATATATATATATATATATATATGTATATATATATATATATATATATATATATATATATACATAAAAATATATACTTTTTTTTGCTTATAATCGTGCAAAGGTGTACAACAGTCATGTTTGCTTGTTTACTTTAGGTGTTTTCACATGCTGAAATTGTCGGAAATCCACCTCTTGAAGTTAAAGCATATATTGTGAACCCTAATGGATATCAATGTTGCCATTACTATGCGTTTTAAAGTACGCATACTCAAGTTGGAATGATGTGAAGCCTTTCAAAAAAAATGTTTTAAACATATTAAACATTTACCTTCCATATTAAATAAATATTCGCTCAATGCATCTATGTTTATTTTTTAAAATCTATTTTGATTCTCATAGACTTGTTGTGTGCGTGGTTGATTAGTTTATAATAGTTAATATAACTGTAAAATACAATAATTACATATATTTTGTATTTTTTGAGACAGTCAGTGGTTAGTATTATACATTTTTTTCAATATAATCATTGTTTAAAAAATAAGGTTAGTTTGCTTTAACGTTTCTTAGATCCATTGATTAAAAAAAAGTCTCTTTCCACTGCTGTTTACACGACACAAACAGTGTATTAAAGAAAAATACATTTTTTTCAAACCGGAAGGCTGTAGGTGAAGTATATTTCATTTGTTTCTTTCCTTAACGAAAGTCACGTACCTATCATGGTTGAGTTCACTCAAGAAAATGTTAGGCCTCTAGACAAGAACTCGAGATATTCTGGTTAGAAGTCAAAAGCTCTACCACATTCGACCAAATCGTCCTATTCAATGTTGTATGTAAACCTTTCTTTTTTCGTGGATTATTTATTTCTTCAATTGAATTATTTATTTAGTTTTCTCTCAATTTGCTCGTCATATTTTTTTGATTCAATGAAGATCTGGGATTATTTTTTTATCTCAAACGTTGCTTATTTGATGATGTAAAAACTTATTATGTTTTAATTTTAAAAAAAATTAAACGTAACTATTTTAAGTCGCCATTGATAACTGTAAAATAATATTCATATTTCCATTATGTTTGATTACGCATTCCCTATCAATGGGTCGCGATGCCCCGCCCCCCCCCCCCCCACACACACCTAAAGTGTAGCAAATGCTATTCTGGGATTTATTTGAGTTTTAATGGTGTCTTGAAATTAACAAATTGTATATATCTAATAAAAAGACATTACTGTATGCATGTGTTAGATAAGCTAATATGTCATAGTTTGTTGAAAGCTCATTTAAAGACCTCAAACAATTTTGACAAAATCTTATCGAACCTTGAATGATGAAGATGTTGAAATACATGTTGGGGTTTCCAAAGTAGTAAAAATGGAACGCATTTCTTTATCTACAAATTCTACTCAAGTATTATATAAGTCATATCTGTGGAAATCAAATTATTTTTGAATGAAACCATGCATCCATCATTGTTAGATTTTCAACTTTTTTTCAAATCAACAGACTGACATTTGAGTTCTGAGTGAAATATCTATGTAAAATAAAATATGTGTATTCATGTATTATCAAATAATTGTTTATACTTTGTATTCGGCTAATAAGCATTAGAGCATGTAAAAATAATAAGTAGAAGATACATACTTTACTCAAAATGTGAAGAGTCTATAAGATGTTTTCAAATTGTTGCAACATTTATGCTTGGGCTTTAGAAAAAAAGTAAATTATTTAGCACCGAAATTGAGAGGAACATTTGCACGCAGTAGTACTTGCGTTGAAACTTTAACTCTTTTTTGTACTGCATAATGAATGGTTGAGATAGATTGAACAATCGAGTAGCATAATATCATATTGTGTTGTGTTTTGACAAATTTGATCAGCTAATGCAATGTGTAAAATAATAAATATTGTTTTACTTGCCTGTACAGTCGTACTTGAAGTAAAGGAATGTCTAGGAGATAAAGGTAAGATAGATCGTCGCACACACACACACCTGCCGAACTGCAAAAAATAAAATATCTGGCCACACAAAGTTGGCAACTGTAAATAAGTTAAGCTTTGCGAGGTAGCTAATACCATGCCTGACCTAACGTTACTTTTACTATTCAGAATGACTAGAATTTGTACCAGGCACTAAAGATTTATATCCTTGTTATAACATCTTTCTACGCAACAGTATGGGTTAGTTATTGTAGAACAATCTTTGCGATAGCAGACCTCTTTATTTTTGTTTTCTACAAAACCTGTACCAAGGTACACGAAAATTACATTATTTTAAAAAATGCATTGTTTTTTGTTCGGAAATTTTGGACTTAAACGGCCTGGGCTACCCCACATTGCGTAGTCTAGCGGCATGGTAGTTCCGCCAATATATTCACGCCATATATTCTGCAGGTTATGACGAAGATAGTTAATCTTTAGGATTCATTATTATCATGTAAAATGTTATAGAGAGCAGTGAGTTTAGTTTAGAGAGTACGTATCGTATATACAATATAGTGTACTGCGATTATTTGTGATGTCTTGTGTGTTAGCTATCTGATTTAAATAGTGCTAACTAGCTTTTAAGCAGCCTATATAATATGCTTACGTTGATTCATGTTGCATTTATATATGACGACAAATTACAGGATATTACGCTACATCATAAAACCCATTGTCAGTTTCCTGCGATTAACTTATCCCTAACAGTTATAACCTGTTAATACAAATGTTTGGTAATCACACTCTCTTGAGAAAATGTAATATACTAATAACAGCAAACTGACAACATATTCATCAACATAGAATTAGGCAAGCATAACATGTATTATTCGTGTGTATGTAAGTATGTGTGAATATGTGTGCGTGTGCGTGCATGCGAGCATACGTGAGTGCGTGCGCGCGTGTGTGCGCTCACGTGTGTGTGTGTGTGCGTGCGTGTGTGTGTGTATATATGTTGGCTATACTCATCATGTGCAATCATCAACATTTAATGTTATTTTTTTCGTTACTGCAAGATGTTATTTTGTTTATAGCTTCTCTGTTAAAAAATAAATAGCTCAACAGGACCAGGTAATAATTATCAGTCATTATTTTTTTTTATTTTCACGACTATTCGAATTTTTTTCTTTGCTAATTTTTATACGCAGTAAGAGCTTGAGTGAAACTAAATTTTTTAATTCTTGTTGCAATTACATCACTTTCGTATGTAGACTAAAATGTTAACGCAAATCAACTTTTCAACACTTAATATTATATTTCAAACAACCTGGTATAGTTCTAAATGCCAAAGCACCCGAGCCATCTACTTTCGAAATGTCCAGTATGTATAGTATCTGCATATGGTCCATCTATTTAAAGCACGACAAAAGATGTATAGTTTATTTAACGCCGCATTCAGTTTAGCTCACTTATCAAGCACTTTGAACATGATATATGAGGTTGCTTTAGTTTGCCCTATGATGGGAGAGTAATATATGCACTTTAGCTATATTATTCTTCTAAAACGTCTTTAATAATCGATTTAAGGTATGCATTATTAACAAACAGCAGGAAAGAATCTATAACGTTTTAATAAGTAGATTTGCATTGACTTAAAAAGTATGCATCGTGTATATGTGTGTCAATAAACACGATAACTTGAATACCGTTATATATAGGTTGATTAAATTTCATACGCAAGAATTATTTCAAATTTGTTGTCTGTATCAACTTTACAGCGATTTCAGATTAACGGAAGTGGAACTTACTCTACTTCCAATTTTTCAATAGCCTATAACTTGACTACTATTTCAGACAGATAAACGAAATTTAAAAAAAAAAGTAAAATATCTAAATCTCTGCCTTCTGTCAAATTTTGAGTAATTGACCGGAATATGTAATTTTCGCTATTTCCGATTAATTAAAAAACGCATGTGAATTTACAAAGTACTAATAATATTCCCCACAATTATACGCAGATTGTTGGGCGTTCACTTGGTGCGCAATTCTATATTCTACCAGATTCTACTCTATTTTAAAACGTTTAAGTCATTGAACATCGATTAAAATTCATGTCTATACCCCCAGTTGCCATTCCCCATAGTGTTACATAAGAATATTCAAGAAAGTTTAGGGGAGATCAATCCGGGTTTATTTAAATTCTATTTTTAGATACACCATTACATGTGGTGCATCTAACGAGGAAGTATAACCACAGTTCTACCAGCTAGCAATAAGTAGTGCTGGTTCCTTCATCATAATGGGATTTGTCTACAAACAAACACGTTTTAGCTGTTTGCGCCACTGTAAAAATCTATTTATAATAATCTAGTTTATTTTTGGCACTTAGTTTGTTTATACACTGAAAGACAAAAATGTGCCCTATTAAACACGGTATAACGTTTTCTAATCTAGAATGTTTAACGACGAAACACAACACACAATGTCTTGTCTGGTTTCAAAAAACATCTATCACACATTAACATGACACATGAGTTTCCAACATGCTTGTGAGACTTTCGTGTCTGTTTTAGAAGATGTTGAGGCTAGCAGTGTGTGTTTATGCAAGCGAACTGAATAACGTAATACAATAGGGTTTGGTCTTAAATAACACTTTGGTTAGAGATCATTGTTTTATCAATTTTCATTTCACCATACATGACAATACGCCTGCTATAAATTCTGATGCACCATTTCATACATGTAATAAACTCTAACAAAAGTACAAACTTACCATTGTTTGACAATGGGAAAAGAGTAAATGTGTTTATGTGTGGGAGTGGGAAGGGAGGGGGTGAGGGGGGGGGGGGAGAAATATGATGTGGGGGTTTTTATCATTTTTTTCAAATAGAAGTATTCATTATATTCATTACGAATATTTAAGCTTAGTTTAATACGGACTACACCAGTATTTATCCGAATTTCTGTGTCGATCAACCCAAAACAAATAATTAAAAATTAAAACATAGAAACATTGTTGTATGATATTTAAGCTACAAATAAAACCAAAGATTGCAATTAAAACAAACAAAGTCATGCTATCCTGAAGATTTTAGGGTAACAATATGTCTCCCTTACAAACGAGATTAGTCAATAACCTATCGTGAATTGTTTTGGTTTATTTTACCTAATATTAATGGTCTATCGTATCAATCAATATCTTTTGATTTATAATTTTTATGTTTATTCACATCGAAGGAGACTGACTTATTTTCTACAACACAACAAAATATATGATTTTACAATTCAAATACGCGTTAAGTCACTTTAAGTATGAATCTTAGATATCTTCCTATCAGCGGTGTTTGATAATAAACTTCTTTAGTTTGTTACTAAACAATCTAGTTGTTGATAGCTCACGCTTAGTAACCCCTTTCAGCCACACATGGTGAATTATAAATCCCTTCCCCCATTTATAAATATACTTTTTGCGTTGGTTAAAAAACGTCACGTTCTCTCCCCTCTAAATTTGGAAAGGTTGGGAAACTACTAGTCATTATCCTTATAGTGTAAAAGACAAGGGAGTGAATCGGTGAAAGTTGTTTGTGTAAAGTAACCAGTTGCATTTACTTTCACCCGAGTCAGAGCAGGTAAAACACAGGTATGTCCATTAAACTCGAGTCCCAGATTTCAACTCGTGACATCAAGGTCTGTAGTCCAGTGCATTACAGCCTCACCAAGCCGTCCTACAGAATGCTTAGTTATTTACACGTGATACGATGTTTTGTTCAACAAGTGAAGCTTAATTTGTAGTATTGTAACTTTAATTTTAACAATAGTAGTAAATAACTCATTAGGGTTATGCTAACTTTAGATTTATTGCTTTTCATTGTTCGGTACCTCCCACATATCTCCAACCTTAAAACCTTGAGTAAGAAATTATATTTTCCTCTTTTTAATTACATTCAAATACATTATGCCTATTTCCATTTGGCTCTGGTTTAGCTAAGGCTTTAATGAAAATATTTGAAAATTTATACAGCTTATCAACAATAATATTCGTTAAAATGTATGGAAATAGATGAAAATATTAATACGCAATAAGT